GAGAACTTTGGGACTATATTATGAAAATTATTATTAATATTGTTACCTAATACTGAAAATAAGTAACAAATTAATATTATAATATACCTAATTTTACTCAAATTTTAATTTCTATCACCACTAGTGCTCTTCTTATGGAAACAAATTTGTGTAACTTAAGAGTTTGATCAGCTTAAAAAATAAATTTACTAACATGAGATTTTGAAAAAGAATTAAATTGGATTTTTATACTAATTAATTAATTCAAAGAGTTGATTATTTATTCTTAACATTACAAAAAATAATTTATTTATCTTTTTGCAGTGGGGATTTTTACTTTTACAGCTTGTATGGATGGTTGTTACATATCGTTTTATTATGTATCGTATCGTACTGTATTGTAACGTATCGTTTGATAAATACAATGTTTGGATAGATTGTGTCGTTTGCCATCGTTTCATAATACCACGCACCAGCAATATGAAGAATAAACTTGCAATATTATAAAGAAAAATTATAATACAGGGTAAAATTATTATATAAAAAGGTATGTTAAATGATAAAATAAAATTATTTAATAATAATGAAGGGTGAGATTGAGAGAAAAAGACAAGGTAACGACGCGACCATACCAAATTGGTCGTTCCATAAAATGGCACATTTTGTCGTTACGTAACGACGGATTTAACGATACAATACAATAAAATTTAAGTAACAATCAAAACAAACATCATATTTAACGTAACAATACGATACAATACAATGGGTAACAACCATCCAAACAAGCTTTTACAATAATAGAGAAAATATAAATAATTTTTGAACTCCTTTCGTATTCAAACAATACTTTTCTTTTCACTATTTTTATGTAACATATAAAAACTGCATTTAATAATTAAAAATTTTATTAAGTATAAACCTTTCAATATCCCTTAAAATTCTAAGTTACCTATTACTACGAGTCATTTGTCCCACGCATCTAACCAGCTCGCGTGGTACACCAGTTCCACCGACTAGACCAAAAGACTAATTCAATCGATACAGAGGTGCAGTTGAAGTGCGAGGGGGGGTCTGTTGTCCCTATTGGGATGGGCCATTCCCCATAAGGCCCCACCGTCGGGGCATAAACGCCCTCTTGCTACCCATATGTGAGGCGCCATCTTAGCCTTCCCTAACCAAGACCACACATGTAGCGTTTGTGATTGGCCACCTTAAGAGAATGAATGCCTACATATATTTCAAAAGGGAAATTGCCGTAAGAAAATACAAGGAAAAAAAACATACTCCTAGTTCTCCACGACAATATTTATTTTGAAATCCTAAATATTAAACTTTCTATTAATTTTAAAAGGAAAGATTTCATAACCAAAATTTTAGTTGAGTCCTACATACTTCAAATAAGGAAAGATTTAATAAATAATATTTTATTTAATTTGAAACTTCTACATATTAGGAAAATATTTGAATTACTATTTTATTCCGTGTGAACTCTATTTTTAAAGGGTAAAAAACGCGAACGACATTTTGCTAAAGGTCTTCGTGCTTTTAATATATATTATATATATAATAACAACAAAAAATACATGGGCTGGATGAACGAGCCTGCAGGGCTTAACTTCTCCACGACTATATTTTCATTAAAAGGCTAGATGTGCTAAGTGGGTCATGAGCCCATGGACGGTCCAAATATAAATGCTATTTTTCTTTTCACATCCATTTTTCCCTTTTTATCTTCCTGCAGTCAATAAATCTTCTAACCTTTCCCCGGTAAATGATGTTATCTCCCTTTTAGATTACATTAACTCTCTTACCTTGATTTAGTAGCCATGTTTGTTTTGATATTGGTTAGCTCATAGTCTAGTGCAGGTTTTTTGTAATAGGAGCTAACCTTTTATCCTCTTTTGTATTCTCTTGCATCTTCTTGACGCCTTTTATAACACCTTAGATCGTCAAAAAAAATAAAGCAAAGAACAAAAAACATTTGAAAGAAAGGGTCAATTCACTCTTCTATTTTTTATAACTCTTGAATTCATTTAACAAAAACACAAATTTAGCAATTATCCTTCACAAGGTTGTGAAATCTCACACAAACAATCAAGATAAATGAATATATGTCCACGATATTTTAGAAAATCATTGTTATTAAGAAATGCACATAAACTAACTATTTGTTATAAACATAGCAACACAATTTTAAAATTTCCTATGGGTGGAATTTACTAAGAATTACTTTGGTTAACCTTTTGTATTTTGTTTATTGGCTCAGGTCTATCAGTTACTAGAAAGGAAAAGAAAGAGTTCAAAAATTAACTTCCATATACCTTTATTGAGCATTAGAGAAATGTGTGGTCAAGATGGTATTTTTGTAAAGGTGATTGTAGGATGGCTACCAAACTATTTAATATCTATACTATATTAAAAACACAAAGGCCCTTAGCGAAATGTCGTTCGCCTTTTTTACCCTTTTAAAATATATTATATATTGGATAAAATAGTAATTTAAGTTATTTGCCTTCAATTTAGGGCTTCAAAATTAATTATATTATGTATATTAAATACTTCCTTGTTTAATAAGAAAAAAGAAAATATGAAGTCCCTCCAAATTAATGTTAATTATTATATAAAAAAAATACGTTATTTAATTATTTTTATAACTTTTAGAAGTTTAAAATTAATTAAAAAAAATTATTATTTGGACTAAAATTTCTAATACTTAGAAATTTGAAATTTTACTTTGTATAGATCATTCACTTAAATTATGCGAGATGCCTTATGCACCAGACTACCTTTTTTTAATTCTAATTCTATGTCATTCTCTAGAGTTAATATGTCATGGAAAAGTCTTCTTTCAATTATAAATNATATATATATATATTGGTACTAACTGATTATATATTTTAAGTTATCATTCAACACTATTTAGGTATTTAAGGATTTGTTTTGGCTAAAACTGAAAAAGAAAGCATGATAACTTGTGAAATTAAAGTTATAAGGTTTTTAAGGACTTGTTCTTGCTGAAACTAAAAAAGGAAGCATGATAACTTGTAAATTAATGTTATAAGGTTTTTAAGGACTTGTTCTTGCTGAAACTGAAAAAGGAAGCATGATAACTTGTGAAATTAAAGTTATAATATTATTAAACTGAAATAAATTTTAAGTTGAATAATTGACTTATGATTGACGATTTTTACGAGAGCTTCTTTATTTATTTAGTTATTATGCACATTTAACATATATAATTATCTTTAGGAACTTATACTTTTATTTTATTGTTTAAACACAAATTTTAAATAAATTAGTATTCATTGAAATAGAATACACACGCATCACGCGTACCTTGATACTAGTAATACTAAGAAGTAGTAGCATAGTTGAAGAGTGCAGGAATAGTACATTGATTCCATTATATATATGAAGAATGGAGATACCCAAAGTTGTGCAAACTATCATGGCATTAAACTTATGCGCCATGAGACTCTGGCAAAGAATAACATAGCATAGGCATAGGGATACTGCAAGAGTAGAAGAAAACCAATTTGGATTTATGTCAGATCTACAATGAAGGCCATAATCTTACTAAGAAAATGATGGAATTTTATCACAAGAAAAATCTACAAATAACGTTCATTGACCAAGAGCAAACATATGATAAGAGGACCAAGAAAGGTCCTTTGTTGGATGTTCGAGAAGAAAGGAATTCATATTAAAAATTTAAATGTCATAAAGATTATGTATCACTAGTGTGAGAACAATAAAAGAGAATACAGGATTTTTCCCATAACCGTGCGACGATCAACATTGAACCTTACTGGTTTATAATTGTAGAATCACATCAAACATTTTGTCACGTAAAAAATGAAGAGTGTGTTATACAATAAGGACAGAAGTAGAATAATCGAAATAAACGATCACTCAAATAGAACTTTGCAGTCCAACTCGCACCATTTTAACTGGTCTCTGTTAGATTATCCTCATCTCTTCTCTTACTTGAAAAGTGAACTTCTGAATTTTTTTAGCACTAGTTGTAACGCTAAGAATAGGTCAAAGGCTCTCCACTCTCCGGTCTACTTATCCTTCCACAGTTACAGAGATTCTAGTATTCTACTGCTACTAGTGTGTGTGGAAGAAAGAGGAGCAACCAAATTGCTAAACTTATAGATGCTGTTACAATTGATAATGATGTCTGTCTATACAGATTGTCAACTCAGACAAAACACTCTTCGTCCATTTGGCAAGAGGGCCAGATACTTTTTCTTTTTTTAGAATGGTACGGTACAAGAGGGCAAGAATCTTCATAGTTAAAATATGACTGGCAGGCAAGCGTAGTGTATTCTAGCACCAATCTCTAACAAATCTTACTCCTGGCCTTCGGACAACTACCAATCAAACTAAATGATTTCTCCATTCAACCTATACTACTTTCCAAATGAAACTCAACCAAATGGCAGGTCGTGTTATCCATACATCTCCAACTGCCCAACCACAGTTACAAACCACAATATAACTAAATTTCCCTCTCAGAGAAATTACCCATCAGCAGAGTAATCAGAATAGCTCCGTGCAAAAAGGATTAACTGATAGATTCTCAGCAGACCACTTCTACCCCATAGATCATCCTGAAATCCATCATTGTCATCAAAAAGATGCAGGCACTATGTCATTCAAAATGCATGGTTTTGCCCTGAATGTGCTATGGTCGCTTATGATGCATTTTTACTTATGAAGGGTGCTTTAGACACTAAGTTATATCAGAACTACAGTCTAAGGAAAGTTCATTACCTTCTAATTCCTTCTCCGAATTACATATTCTTGAAAGGAGAGGCAATTATGCAAGAAACTATGAGCTGAAGAAGCTCATTTCCTTCAACCAGTCTTTTCCCCTATTACGAGGCCTTTACTCCTGTATGATGACACTTGCAAGAAACACTTGAGATTAAAGGAGCATGGCGCCTTAAGTGCAACAACAATATCTCAAATTGCTACACAGAATTAGGCAGCATGGATACCGACTAAGGAAGACATAAATGAAACAGAAAAGTATAGATTAATTGGGTAATTCTGTACAGAGACATTCATGGTAAGAATGGGAAGTGGAGGAATATATAAAGCCCGCAAGCTCCAGAACAACTCTAGCCTTAGCAGAAAAGGCAGAAAAAAATTGCAAGAACTGGAGCAATATATGGACATCTGAACCAGCTAGTAGTAGGTAACAGGGAGCAAGCGACCAAAGACACGTCACTTCGAAGGGAAGACTTCTGCACAAGAGGGAAACTGTAATTAGTATATGGAAAACACGAAGATGATCATATGAGTGAAAAGCTGATACACAAGATGAAGAATGAGGTTACTTTCAGCAACTGGCACTACATAAACGCATGAATTGATGTGCTAGAGGAACCAGAATATGACTCAGGAAAGGAAAGTGAAAAATAGAGAGAATGAAAACAAGAAGACACCAAAAACCAAGGATAAACAAAAGGTGGACAACAGAAAAATATCACTGATGTCCGCTACATGGTTCCATGAGCAGAAGGTCAATGGAATGTTGGTCCTCATCAAGCTCAGATCTCACAAAATACTAAATCACCACTTTTGCAGTGATCTAATAATTTTACATTATTGTTATCATCATTACAGAAAATACAAGCATATTGTTTTATATCAATTCTTATCTAAGAAGGATAGAACGATCTTTAAGAATAAAAGAGCGCTCTAAGGTCTTCAGGTCTTCAGTAACACTCTCCGATGGCAAATATTTGGCTGCCACTGTTAGTTCAGTAATCTTAATTCAGGATATAATGCATTCCTAACTTGTCACTTGTACCTCTACTAACAAATTATTTCCTTTCCACAAATACACCACCTACCTACCTATATATATTATGTCCAAACTTTTTTGTTGCCGTAGTCTGTATGCTTCCCACACTGTAGGTATACAGTCTAATATCTGTACCAAACATATTCTTCACCAAAATTGTTCACATCGTAACTAAAGGGTCTTAGTAAGCAAAGCAGTTAAACTTCACTACACTGACTGGATCAGAGAACGCAAACCCTCAACAGGGACTCAATAGCAGAGAATGGCTCCAAGTGAGCACCCTAACGAGAAAATTGTAATAGATGTAGAAGCCAGGACAAGTGTCAGATATGTAACAAGTGAAATATAGAATTATGATTATATATATCATTATACGTTCATGCATCCGACACACTATTCCTCTTTTAACTTTTTTTCCTCCTAAATCACCCAAAAGCCTCCAATGAACATTTAAGTTTCAAAACTGCATAGCACTAGCAGTAGCAGCTCATCAAACTTTCGCTACGACTCCACCTATGCTTAATTCACCTTGTTCCCACTCAGAAGAATCTTGCATCAAAACAAACTACGACAAAGTTAACAGTTAATAAACAAATAAGTTTCCAAAGTATCTTAGAATAGGACCAACTGACAAACACAGACTAGTTCACTCAATTTTGAAGTAGCAGTCCTTGAAGCCAAAAGCATCACCATTTCAGCTCAAGTTCCCAAAGGTGCCTTTAGTGGGTAGCAATTACAGTTTATTACACCAATCAAGCATTACTAGTGACTGCCTTTCTCAATAGATGAATCAAAAAGTTTTTGTAGAAGAAGACTTTATCATTCCTTATCGGAATTTTGGTACAAAATAAGCCAGATATTCATGGAACGCTACCTCATAGCTTGACTTTAAAATCTAAATAGAGGTTTGATGAAATTCTCAGGAGATAGCAACCATGGACTTTGGAATATTGAAAGTGGAGAAAAGAGGAAAAACTTATAACTTTATGGAGCTAAATATGTCAAGAAATACATCGAATAGTACCTCACTTGAAGTTATAATCCAAATGGAGGTCTGACCTTATCGAGCAAGAATCAGCCCATGGTTTTTAGAATACTGAGAGTGAAGAAAGGACGAAGATATCCACAATAAGAAATTGCAATCATCTCTTGTTGTAGTAAGCTGTCCGATTAATGGTGCGACACCATCGTCATCAGAAAAAAAAAGTTGCCAAAGAGAGTCAAAGAAAGAGACCAAATGCCTAAACTCCAGAAATAGTTACATTATGATGGATTTCCTCAAATTTCCCAAATGTGGCCAAAGAACACAGTATTAGTTTGATGCCCAATAAAGAGCGAACATAACCATTTGTCTGCCCACCAAAGATTCTAACTAGCCATTCTCAGGAGCCAAAGATGTATCTTCCATGGTCTGATCCTTTAAGGAACATCTGTATTCCTCATTGGCGCATGGAGGAAGAGCCCGAGCTAAAATTTAGTATTTATGTCTAAATGGGATTCTTTACCAGCATTCTACCCAAGGATTGGGGAGTATCCATGTCTCGTATCTCAACTGAAGGGTCTGAATTTTTAGAAAAAAAATTAACCTCTTTTTGTTCTTTCTTTCTTTCTTTTTGAGATAAATATAAGCTAGATGAATCTGGGTTTGGTTCCCAATTGTGCTACTCCATGCTGATAAATATGGGTGGTCTATGAAAGAGAGCTGCTTCAGTTCTCCTTCAGTAAGCTACTCAAAAACGACCAACAAACGTGTGTGTTGCCAACTTGCCATTGCAATTACTTGTGCCGTTTCAATCTTGAACTTGCATATTACAAGCTTAATTGATTTAAGCCCCAAGGGAAGTTCTTTATCAAACCTCTGACTAGAGAAAAGCACTCCTAGGGAACTAAACCTTAATCACAACTAATTGGTACCGCCTACAAGGATTTTCTTACATTCTACTGTTGTTTGCACCGACTCTGGAGTCTGGACTTGAAGAAATTGTAGGTCTTCCGAGACAACTACCTTCAATATAAGACATGACCAAACCATCCTAATTGACTTTCCTCATTTTATCCAAGCACAATTTGGTCATTTCAAATCTTGTATGACCACACATCCATCTTAACATTCGCATTTCTGCGACGCTCATTTTTTGTGGATATGCTGGACTTTAGAGGCCTGTTACTCCCACAACTTGGCTAATCCTACATGCTTCTATGTCTAACATCTTCATCCATCATACAGTTCTATGGGAACATCAAACCTAGATATCTGAAGTGTTTGTTTACACACCACTATCCCATCCTAACACATCTTAGTTTCACTCTTCTTGTACTAGCTAAACTTGTAGTGCATATATTCAGTCTTACTTATTAGAACTCTTGTTCTTTAGGGTGATTCTCCATAGTTCAAGCTTCAGGTTAAAACTTTTGCTAGCTTTGTCAAATTAACACAGCATTGTCTGCAAATAGCATAGACCACGGGAAATAACTAGGGCAAAGAAGTACGGGGTCAATGCCAAACTCTTGTCTAAACCCATAATATGAGCAACTTCTTTGTATCTCCAACTAATATTCTCACGCTAGTGACAACTCCCGTATATAGAACTTTATAGCATTTATGTATGTAATATGAATTCTTTTCTATAGGCAACTGCAAACAGGAAAAGAGTGTATAACGAGTTGTCATAGAGGAGCAGAATAGGATGGGGTGAACAGATTAATCTCAAATCCTTCTCAATAAAGCTGCAATGGAGCAGCTTGATTTCTCATGTTACTTTGTATATCATTACTAGCATGACATAAGTGTACAGCAATAAAATAACATGCCAGATTGGAATAATCTGTATCCTGGATAACAAATAAAAAGCAAACGATAAACGGGTTCACATACCTCTTTATTCTCCTCCCCAGTCTATTAACTCATTGCGTGGTGCATACAGCTTCGCCATTCGTTCCTCAGCTTCGGTATCATTTACTACACCTCGGCATCTTGGGAAGCCACAATAACACGCAAGTTGTTCATCGATAGAAAAGAATCTGCAACATGAACAAATACAATTTAACACACCAGAGATGGGAGTGACAAAATAATAGAGCGAGATGATGGAAAAACCTGTAATCATATGTCAATTCTTCCCATTGTTTAATATCTCGTTTGGCAAATATGATTATATGTTGATCGTTATTGACACTTATAACTCTTGAATAGCAATTTGGCTGCAAGAAAAGTGAAAGTTGTGAACTGCAGCTCATTTACAGAATGTCTTCTTAAGTACTAGCAATCAAAAACTCCACTACATTCTCCATTGCAGCAGTCTTTCCAAATAAACCCACTGACTAGCCAATGAAACATATATATTTGGATCATGGCGAGGAATCTGGATGTGTTTACCGATGATACATTATGCTTAGATCTGGCTCTATAACAACACAAAGTAAAAAACTGACAAGTCAGGTAAAGGCTTATTCACCAATTCACTTGAGATTCTCATGCCATCCCAAAGGTCCTAATAAGAAGTGCTCTCCAAAACACAAGAGGGTAGCTTAGACTTAACAGATAAAAGTTGCTTGCTGGTATAATCAAAAGTAACTTTCAAGAGAAAATATTCTATCCCTCCCAGGGATCCAAGGTCACAACAAATATGTTGTAAGAACAGAATATGTTGTAAAGCAGATATTAATAAAGATGCTTCAATAGCACACCAATTATAATTTGTCCACTCAATTGAGCAGTTCCACAAGTATATTGTCAGACCCATGTTTATGGCAATAAACACATGATGGATCTATATGATGGTCACAACAAATACTGAAACCGTTAAAGATGGATCTATATTTAGATGTTATAAACATGGAGACCCAACAGAAGGAGTTCTCATGAGGGCGGTAAGCTCCAATTAGACTGTTCAACTTTGTTTATACATAAGCATCTGCTCATATGTAATCTAACAGAAGAATACATCTAAGAACAGAATATGTTGTAAAGCAGATATTAATAAAGATGCTTCAATAGCACACCAATTATAATTTGTCCACTCAATTGAGCAGTTCCACAAGTATATTGTCAGACCCATGTTTATGGCAATAAACACATGATGGTGTCTTTGTTCATGTAATGTGGGTGTTCTCCATCTAGTGAGGAAAGAAACATTTACCCCCAAGAGAATAAAACCATTAAAGGAACAGGGAAATAGGTAAAGGAGGATTTTGCATACTTCACATGAATGATTGATCAAATGTGCAATGCTTCCTGCCCTTGTTGCATCTATAACACGCTCATCATCAATTCGAAACATGTATGTTCCAGCACCCTGAGAGTAGAAATCATGTTATTGGTGAAACAATATAATTACCACCAATGGAAGCAGCTTTCACCCTCCATCAAGCCAGTGCACAAAAATGGAACGACCAAAATCAAAAAGGGATATGCTTATGAAGTATATAGGTATCTATTCATCAAAAAAAGAATCTCATAGGTTTCTAATTTCTTTCAATAGATACTACAACTACTATATCTTAAGCATTGAGCATGACCAGAACAAGCAACATGATCACGAAGAATTCAATTCTTGTGACCAAATGTCCTATGCAGAGCAATGCAACTTAGGGATTTCACTTTTGCAAGTACATTTTTCAAGCCTTAATTGGAAATAAGTTTATTTATGGATCCCCCCCCCCTCCCTTTTCCCTGCTGCAGGTATTCGTGGAATGTGACCCTTACTTCTGAAATGAGCATGAACCCACATGTTTCCAGAGCACTTCAAAAAGAATATCAGGTCAACTGACATAAAAAAATACACATGTTTTGGTTAAAAATATGCTTAGCAAACATATAATAACTATCAATCTGCTTCTATTGAATGCAAATGTTCCTTGCTTCCATGTAAAAGGGGAAAATAAAAATTGGCCGTGTAAACATAAAGAAAGTATTAAGAAACGTGTAGCCTATCTTTAGCTAAAGAAATGGAAAAGAAGCATTTTCAGAGATTTGCAGCCATCAATTGGACTTCCGCCAAGCACTCCCTATAATGGCCCACTAGTAGCGAGAGTACTAGGAATCCGGGTATTTGGAGCCTTGAAGGTGTAGCAGAGCACACATTATGTTTTCTGGCTTACACTTTTTGGAAGTGATAAAGATTACATCTCTCTCCAACCAATGTTCAAAACTATATCTTCAATAACCAAACAATGAAAAAAATAACTACTACCATGCAAATCAAAAAGATGACCATTTGGAAACCACAAGTATGACCAAGCAACATGTAAACATCCTAAACAATGACATAGTTCTTACCACCAGTGAGTTGTAAATTAGGTGCTCCCTTCGGTCAGCAATAGGAGGTCTAACAAGTTCTCCAGTGTACTCAATTACCTATTAAGCAAAGGAATTGTCAGTCCTTGGTATTGAAACTTTACAACAAAAGAATACGCATGAATATTTATATAGCTACTTTCTCTCAAATCATATCACTGTAATAAAGAAAGGGACAAATTACCATGTCCCCAGCTTTATGAGGAAGCTTGGTAAAGATGCCAAATCCATGTATTCCGGATTTCCCTGGAGGCAATGACAATCTCAAGAATAAATTATTGCTACTTGTAAGAGAGGGGGAAAGTGGTGATACAAGAGCACAAAGGAGCTCAAAGTAGCACCAACTAGCAAAATAATCTAGTTAGGTGATAGCAAGAATATTCAAAAGGGTCCATTTTTGGCATTATTCGATCAGTTGCTCTATTCCCACCATGAACAATAACACGAGAAAACACCCAAACAATGGAGCACACAATAGAGGACAAGAATAAGATTGCAGGTGTATACAATATACAGCACACATCCAGATAAGACAATTTCAAATTTGCTTCAGATAGTGAAGGCATACAGAATATTCAGCTTACCAAATGCCAGCCTTTTTCTAAAGGTTTCTTTCATGTAGTTGTATTTCTCAACCATGGAAAGTATGCTCCTTGACACATCAAGCAACGAACACTTTAGCTTTTGAAGGTCAACGGTGTATTTGGAACCAGCAAATGAGGAAGATAATGTATCACTCAATTGCTCATGTTGGCTGTGGCCACCAACCAAATATGGCCTATTTTCAACATACAAGCGCTTCAACGATGCAGCTGTAAGGACTTCAGGTTCTTTTCTTCCTCTTCTTCCAAAATAATTGTAAGGCTCTATTCATTAACAAACAGAAATCAGGAATCATAAAGTGCACTGGTAAACAGTTGCACACAGAGAATAGTAGCAAAAGATGCCATCAATATAAAGCATTAACCAAAATCATTTCAGGAAACAACAGATAATGGAATAACAGATCTGAGACATATAAATAGTAATGGAGAATAAGAATAGCATACCACTGCGAGCACATCCAGAAGGATTTGGTGGAGGAGTATAATCTGAATGTTCACAAGCTTTTTGTGCAACCCACTCATCAACAGCAGGACGCTCATTAGATACAGCTCTATGCTTCTTGCAGAAAGAAAGCAATCGAATGCACTGATCCTCCTCATCCTCATCCATGGGGATTAAATGCAATCTGTCTTCATCCTCAAGCTATAAAAACGTTAGCATCAAAAGAAGATAGGTTAGCATAACATATAGGAGAAAAGGAGAACACGGAGAATCCATACATCACATAAAAAAACTTCCATCACTATAATAAGAAGAAATCACCTCGACACAGAAGCCAGCAGCTCGTGCACAAAGAGGATGATAAGCCACCCGACACGTATGGTTTGAGCACTACATGACAAAGTAAGGAGGGAAACAAACAAAGTAGTGAGTTGGACAAGCATATTTTAAAGTAGAACTCAATCAAGTGACATGGATGCTAGTGCCTCTCCCAAAAGATCAAATTTATAGTACACAGAGAAAAAGGAAAAGAAAACTAATAAAGAAATCAAAGAAAGGAAGAAAATATTAGAAAAGGAAAGATAGTGCGAGAGGCCTGTAATGGAGCTAACAAATTCACTTTTGCACTTAGTATCTTTTTTGTACTACTTGCATCTTCTCGATGCCATCGGTGATATCATTTACTTCATCAAAAAGAAAGATAGCATGAGAGAGAGAGAGAGGGGAGAACTTGTTAACAAAATGCAGAAAGAAGAAAAGAGATTCCACTTCGATAAAGATAAGAGGATCAGCCGATGACTATCAAATTAGAGCTAAACATTATATCTTAAACGTCACAATTAACAGAAGTCCTTTTCCTTTTTTTGAAATGATCAACTAACAGAACTCCCAAGGATTAGTTTTACAAAGCATCTGCAGAGGCAGACCAGAGTGTGTCACATCTTATCCAACCACAATCTGTTTCCAATCAGTTCGTAGACTACCAATTTGCATCGTTATTCTTTAACATTTGAGCCCATATATTTGAGGATGAAGAAACAGAACACAGAATAAAAAATTAAATCTATACTTGTAATCTCCTAATAAATAGAAATGGGGTTAGGATATAAATCACAAGTTTACCTGAATGCAAGCTCCATAAGGAACACCACAGATACTACACAAGAGCTTCCAGCGGTCCTTTAAAAATAATAAACAGAAGAAGATATTATCACGAGAAACTGCAACAAACCCTATCTATGTGGGCGTCTTCCACAACAAAAGACTTCTCTTCCTTTCGATAATTAAGCTATGAAAATTAATTGCATAAATCAGCAATATATGAGATAATGAGAGGTATAAGTAATTCTGGTCGATATTCTGAAAGTCCAATTAGGAAAATTAGTTGCCGCATCTACATATATATTGCAATGGATTAAAAGTGAAAAATGGCTAACAATCTCAATAAAATTTAGAAAAAAAATAGTAATAGATCTTAATGGCTAAAAATACGAAAGTGGGGTATGGTGGAATTATCATTCACGATAACAACAACAATAATAATAATAATAATGGTGATAGTAGAAGAAGAAGAAAATAGGGGCAGTCTTGGGTTTAAACATAATTATGAGAGCCTAAGTACTTATTCTACGGGGCTTGGGCATTTTTAGTAGTATAGCCACGTGAAATATGAAAAAGTCATGGTTGAGTACCTTTAAAAGTGCAAACAACAACAGAGGACAAGACTGGAGGGTTTTTAGACAATGATAAAAAGATAAATAGAACTGCTATAGTACCTTGCTGATCCTGCTCAAACCATCAATTGGCTCCATTCTCTTTATATCAGATAAGCAAGTTTCTGAATCATGATAGAGGGAATCAGGGAATCAAAACACTTATCGACAACGATAATCAGTCAGTAATATGACAAAAAGAAAAATAATGACCTGGTATCCAAATGGCACAAGCAAGATGAGCCCAACGTCCATCAGTAGTAGGCTTCATAGCACCGCCTGTATGGCATTAAAAATAAGACACAGAAGCAAGAAAAGAGCTGGGCAAATTAAGAGAAAACATGCAAGCAAAAGTAAGTACCGATAACAGGGCACAGGCAACAAGGGGGAGGGACTACTGGAGCTCCTGGACGACACAAATTGCATAACCAAAGTACTCCATCCATAGGCTCCCTCTCCCCATAGCATCTAGCATGGACCTGAACAAATCATGACCAGCAAAGAACTTCAACCCGGAAGAATGGAATCAAATATTCAAGCCCAAATAAGAACAATGTATCACTCAAATATCATAGTAAAAGAGAACATCAACCAACACAGAAAATTTGTAATAAAACGTTCTGGGCACCCATAGGGAGGAACAACAGAGTCAAATCAATAAGTAATGTCTGGAATGTTCTCGCATAATTATAAGTTGATACAATATGGAAGCATCATAAGTAAGTAGTCCTTTTTTACATGATGGGTAAAGAGTCACTTTGATCAATATCAAATAAAAAGGAAATTCCATGCAGGTTTAACAGAAAACAAGCAGCTATCACATCCGCACAATAGATGTGTGGATAAGAGAAATAGCAAGCTGGAAACATTCAATTCTAAAATAAAAAGGGAAAATAGATTACTATACTTTGTCCCAAAAAGAAGGAGAGACAGAGATTAGTATACTCACCATCATTCGGCATTTATCACACTGCAAAAATAAATTATTCTCATACTCCTGTAAAAGAAGAATCTACGTCAGCATGATCCGAAGAAACTATATTGTTACTACTCAATTAGGGAAAGACAAAAATGATACGGATCACCAAGATGCAACTTCAGTAGTTGTCATATAACAACAACACCCAAATAAGCAAAACAGATATCTCAAAAATCACACACTAGCTGGAAGTAACAAAAGCATAAGAAATGGAAGCAGCTTCTAACCTCATCCATATGGCAAACGTTGCATTTGTCCAGATCTTTCCATTTAACACGGACAGGCCTATATCCAGCAGGCAGATCTTGATTTTTCGAAGAAGCCAATTTCAAGGATTTTGCAAGAAGCCTGGAGTTTGATAATTCCTGACAGTATAATATATGCCTTAGCTAAGCAGGAGAAAAAGAAATAAGCAAAATATAGAATAATGCTTTCCAATTTCCATCAAATAAGTCATTCGCAGATTAAAACTTCTTAATGTGAGACTAAGCAATGCGCTCACTATATTATGAGTTGGAACTCTAAGCTAAATTATATTATCAACTTACTTTAAGATATTGTGCCAAACTATGTTTGTTTGATTGAGCAAGTCCAATAGATTTAAGACTTAATTTTTTCTAAATTTATTTTTAAAATAAAAAATATAATAGATGAAAAATCAGCAGTAAGAAGATGCTGCTATTACTAAAAGTCAGCAAAAGAGAAGCCAAAAATGAAAACACTGGCTATCCATACAAAAGATACAACGAACTATGACAGGGTTTCGCTATCATCTACCCGTTCATGTTTACACCAAAAGGATATCAGATTCTGCTCCGTACATGAGATACACATTTAAGAAAAACTCTAAATATTCAAAAGGGACTTCTATTCCATTTAGGCACCACTGACAGCATTAAGCATCTGTTGCCTTCAATTACAACTAGATAATGGGAGAGTAGAACTATACGATATTTATAGTTAAATGGCACCGTATATTTACCAATTAATGGTATCCACCATATTCAGCTTCACTCGAAGATAGCAGTGCATTTTTATGATCTTTTTTTATAAGGCAAAATAATTTTATAAAAGTAGAGGCTGTAATGGTCTTATATGTTTATATAATGTTCGTCTTATCTTATCAAACACTTCTGAAGTATAATCGCTTGGTACAATTTGACTCCAAAGTGTTGAATAAGGAAACAAAACAGCACATAATATAGTCACTTAAATCTTATTCACAAGTAAAGTAAAACTGTACTAAGACAACTTCAAAGTCATTGGAGCCAATGATAGTAATATAAAACATGCTCAGATTTGCAATAATAAGACAGAACAAAAGTTGAAGGAACAGAACCACCATAAAGTGAAAATTGGGTGGAAGAGCAACTTATAATACCTTTATAAGTTTCAAAATTTCAGGATGAGAAAAGCCAAACATATGAGAACCCGATCCAAAAGTCCTTTCACTTTCACCGCCAGATATTGACTCATCAAAATTGTCAACTTGCGTCTTTCTCATCCGTTTGTAAACTTTATTCCAGGAAGCAGATGGTGTAGATCCCTTAAACTGCAAAAACAAGTACACCACGCGACTAGCACTATCACTTCTCTTAACATCTAAAGGCTAAACATTAATGCCTATTCGAAAGCAAAACAAATCCTAGATAAGAAAAACAAAAACTAGATCAAGTAGGTTTTCCATGATTGCCAGCTATTTCCCTTAGAGAGAGAAAAAGGTAGCAAGTTGATGTGGTAGAGACCATACGACGTTTCTTTTATGAGCTAAAAACTAGTATGTTAAAAAGTTGAAACTAACCCCTACTAGGATAAAGAGCAGCACACATCTTAGCCAAGCTCTCAAGTGGACACACAACAGCGTAGATACTCGAGGATTCATCAGAGATTCAACATTTCACAAGCCAGCGGTTCAAATAACTGAATAAGGATGACAATGACAAAATAAAGATAACCACATTGATTATCTCCATTGAAATCCCCGACGGCTTATATTAGTGTTGTGCAACAACACAATAAATCCTTAGTTACTTTGTTTTATATATTACTGACTGAAAGGTAGGGACTTCTAAGATTTAGCTGGCAATAGTCTTTCAAAGCTCAAACTTGAGCCTTAAATGTAAAGTTCAAACATAGCTTGAGCTCAATTTAAAAATCCAAGCAATACCTCTAAGGTACTTTAAATGCCCAAGTCAAACCCGAAGAGGCATGCCACAGAATTTAATCAAAAAGCCTAAGATATTTTTCAATAACAAGGTGTCGTATTCATAATTTAGCAACGAAGAATACATCAGTCTGACAGGTGATTTACATGTATATCATCAGAATCCAAAACCCTTCGAGGCATAAGCTCCTTGGATATGAGATGTTTATCACTCATATCAATAAATATTACTCCCTCCGTCCCAATTTATGAGGCATCCTTTCCTTTTTAGTCTATCCAGAAAAGGATATCATACTTCTTAATTTAGTAACAATTTAACTTTAAACCTCCCATTTTACCCTTAATGAGATGATTTATAGCTACAAAAGTCTGGCTTGTTTTTAGTCCACAATTTTCAATAGTCTTTCTTTATTTCTTAAACTTTGTGACCAGTCAAACAGCGCCACATAAATAGTGACAGGGAGTATTACTTCATCTGGAGAAAAAAGAGACAACTACGGTTTTAAGCATTCAACTGCAGTATCTAAACAGAACATAATGTAAGAACTTATGCTCTCTCCAGTCATTCCTATGGGATCTCAAAGTGCTTGAGATCATCAATTCACATTTTAATTCAATCCATTTCGACTGGTCTCGTCCTCTGACTCAATCTTAGAGTATGATTGACCATCTTTTTATCAGCAGAGCATGATTGACCGTTTTTACTCTTTGGGTATCAGTCTTGTTTTATAAGAGAGAATAGTGTAGTGTCCTTTTCATCTAATTGAAAAGCTTAATGAGCTTCAATAGATCAGTCAGTCCTTTATTACATCTACAAATAACTTCTATCCAATGCTTAAAGTTCACAAGCACTAGTAATTTGAACACAACATTTCTTAGCAAAAGGTGAAAAAAGAAAAGTTCCTCTCAGATTCTGGAATGGATATGAAGAATCTGAACAAGGGGCCCATTGTTTCAAAAGGGTGCTATAAAATTAATTGTGACAATAATATACTCAGTGCCTTCGTAAGTGAGATAGAAAACCATGGAACTTGACAGCAATTGAAAAACTGAATTGCAGAATCAAAGGAGAATAGAGCATATAAGTTAATGAATGAAGCAGTTAAAGAAAAAAATAAAAACTTGATTTGACAACATTGAATTGCAGAATACCTGTTCTCCACTATCTGACGTAACTCTAAATAAAGGCCGTGTCCTGAAATCAGGATCTCTCAGTACCTCCATCTTATACGAGACACGTACACCGGGATCTGGCCCAATTGAGACGTAGAAGAAATGGATTAATTTTATACCAATTAATTCAAACAAAGGCACAGCAGAACTGTTGCTGGAGAGGGAAATATGAACAAATACCTGTTACCGAAGGGAACTTCCTCACAGCAGTATAGCCTTCTGGCCAGATAAATTTCTCATCTCGAAAGAGCTCTGTATCTTCTACTATTTTCCCTGTACAGGACATTTGCACAACGAAGACTGATATAAATCGAATATTCATCAAGTGAAGAGAGAACATCAAGTCAAATTATGAGAATAGGGAATGTTACTCAACAAAATAGAGGGGGGAAATGAACACTGCAGTTTGGCAGATAATATGTTACAAAGGTGGCTTTCATGGACAAAATGACTGATTAACTTATGTCCATAGAATCTGAAAATACCAATTAATCACTGTTGGGACAGCTATATGCTAAAGTAGTAAAACCATATAGGATTAATGATTATCTAATTGGAGGTAAAAATCTCATGATGTAAGAAGGGTGAAGAGGATGGGGAATGGTAAATGGTTTTCTGATACATCTGGAAGAATCTCAACCTCAAAAATATAAAACAAACTCAATACAATAGAATATTATTGCATTCTTTTGCTCTCCAGTAAGCATCTAAGATTTGAAAAAATACCAAGGCTAACTACTTGCAAGTCCCCCAATTCAAATGGGCAACTTCTGATATCCTCAATCTTTCTCCTCAACCCTTCATCCTCTGAATCAGAACTGCCTTCACCTTCTTCGCTTTCAGTATTGTTGTCAGCAGCGATACGATTCTGTATCCGCAGCATCCTCTTTGAGAGCTTCTGTTCAGTAAGATACCTGATCAAGAAAGTCAGAAGTATGAAACCAGTACAAACCTAGAGACCGAGTTAATACTAGGTAGGAAGATACCAAGATACACAAACCCCAAAGGCAGCAATACAACATATGCAGGTAGAAGGAAACTTCTTTTGCTGCCAGAAGAAAGAAAAAGGCACAACAAATTTTTAACTTAAATTCACAACCAGGCTTTTGATTTATAAGTCAGCATGCCTCACGAAGGACAGTAGGAACATTCTCCATAAGACGAGGAAAATAATGAACAGTAGATTTTAGGCATGGATGGGTGTAATTTATCCACGTATCTGTTAGCTATAGTAGAACTTAAGGTCGGAAAATGAAGGCATTTTAAGGTTTGTTCCTCCAATACAATGCACATGGATCACAATGTTTTGGCTGAAAGTCCAACACTAATAGTACTAAAGGATAGAAGCAAATCATATCACATGCACCTGAATATTGGTAATTATGGGTTGCTATGTTAAGCTGAGATAAAGGCTAAGAATTAAGATAAGACCAAAGGCCTAAATTAACACCCAACAATTCTAGCAAGAAACATATCCAATTATTTGGCTTCACTTTATTAAATATTAACAGTGTCAAGTTACCAATGAGACAACCTTATGATCTAAGGCCATGCTGAATAGTGCATAGTGGGGCCATAAAGTTCAATGCATGTGAAAAAGAACAATTAAAAATGCAAGAAAATATAAATACAGGAATCATGTCTTTAATCATCAAAGCTTTCACATGAGAAGAATATAATGTATGTATCAATCTTTTAAGAGTCATTTCTACTAGTCTAATACAATAGCTTTCCCTATTGTAATGACAGACATAAAATGGAAAGAGCAACAATATCTAGCGAAGGACTAGACAGATGGAAAACTACAAATATAGGACATGCAAAACATTTAATCCTGGTGAAGTAACAACGAAATAACACAAAAATGAACTCAGATCAACAAGGCTCACATTTTTGCTTCCTCCAAACCTTGAACAAATTTTGGCTTTTTGCACTTGAGGTGAAATGAAGAAAGAAGCCCTCTCAGGAAAGAGATAACTTGCTTTAATTTAACCCTGGAATTCAATAACAAAGTTTCATAAGCCCACAACGAAGTAACTGAGCATATTACTGCTTAAATAGTAAATACAACTCCAATTACATTCAAAATAAACTTCCAAATTGCACACCTAGCAAAATCATGGGTGCCAAAAAACTGCACAAGAACAGATTTTTCCCCAGAAACTTTGTTTAGACCTTTACGCCCACCAGCAAGAGATTCATCCAGAACAATAGCCGGCCACATGGCATGACCTGTATTGGCCAATAAAACCAACGAAAAATCGGATATTTGCCATTTGGGAGATTTTGACCTCATAATTGTTGCAGGAAGTAAACAACCATGCAAAATTTAGTTGCTAAAAAATTTTATCTTTGTTATTTCTTCTACTTTGAGAGCTTCTTCCTAACTGCTTATTGACTGTGTGTAACCAACCATATGAGTGGACATGATAAAGTTGCAAATCACACCAGAAGTTATCAAAAGCTGAGAAAAATTCAGAAGTTGCAAATAAAGGCCATAACTTACCAGTCAGCTTGGCCCATATAATATCTCCAGGCTCAAGAGCTTCGCAGTCATCCAAAGTAGCAGCTAATACAACCATCTCATCAACATCAATTCCATCAGTTTCAGGACTCGTATCACTGGATCTCAACTTCAAACGGCTCATCTCCTCAAGTGAAACAGAAAACTTGACCCTTTCATTTGATAAAAGCAAATGCTCTTCATCCCCATCTACATATTTCACCTGCATTGGACTCAAAACTTGTTTCATACACTTACCCGTCAAAGGATCAAACAAAATTTGAACGAAAAGGAGCCAGAAAATCAATTACATGATGCCGTTCAGTCTCAGAGTTGTACCCAATTACACGACCAGAGTACCAATCAGCATCTAATGGCCAATACACCTATCAATAAAGACTGTACAATTAGTCTCTTAAATTGATAATAACAAAAGTACAGAGCACATTCTAACCATTCTAAGTTTGATCAATTCACACCTTACATTGTAGTCCAATAAATTTCTTGGGATCAACTCCTTCAAAACTCAACCTGTAAACCGCACAAACCCAAACACTTTCATACATGATAACACATACATACTAAGCATAAAATTGAACAAGGGAAAAAAGTACCAAACCCATTTCTTGGTGCGAATTGACCCTGAGCTTTTGCTACTCAAGTGATTCTCCAAAACAGAATTTTCTTTTCGCTTCTTAATGTTGTTACCCCTAAAGTTAGAATCTTTACAGTCATTATTACTGTGATTGGTATCAATTTTATTTTTACAAGCACTATTTCGAGTTTCTCTCAAACAAGACTCATTCAACATAACACTATCATCCACTCCCAAATTTGCTAGCTCCGAACTACCCACCTTCCTCCTCTTCTTCTCCTTCTTCTTCTTATTATGCTTCACGACCACTACTTCATCATCTTCTCCCTCATTGTCCCTCTCATTCTTGACACACATATTCACTACTTCTAAAGTCCCCACCTTCCTCTTCTCCGTGTTCTTTATAACCACTATGTCTTCTTCGCCCTCAGTTTCCCCCTGGTCTTCTCTATTGTCAGTCGAAAAATTGGCTAATTTTTGCTTCTCCTTACTCATTATAACCATTTCCTCATCTTCGCCCTTGTCTTCTCTGTCCCCATTCGATAAATTGGCTAATTTCGCTGACCGAGAAGCAAGCTTTGAATTAAACACTTTTCTCTTTTGTTTCCCCTTACTCTTTACAACTTTTTCCATGTCTTTGCCCTCGTCTTCTCTATCTCCATTCACAAAATTCCCTATTTTCACGGGCCGAAAAACTAGCTTTGAATTGCCCACTTTCTTCTTCTGCTTTTCCTTATTCTTTACAACCATTTCCTTGTCTTCGCCCTCATCTTCTCTATCGCCATTGGATAAATTCCCTAATTTCCCACTCACTTTCCTCTTCTGCTTCTCCTTATACTTTCTACCAGCTTCCTCTTCTTCGCCCTCATCTTCACCCACATCGCCATTGCAACTACCTAATTTCACTGATCCAGACTCGTTCACTAACGAGTCATAAAACGAGGGTTCATCCTGTCGTTTCCTTTTACGGCGGCGAGTGTAGAAGTGAGTAACCGGTGGTTTCGTTGCGGACATTGAGTAACTGTGATGTGTGTGTGAATAATGTTTGGTGCGATCATCGTCGGTGTCGAAATGTGGGAGAATTTTGCGAGCGGCTTTAACTTTTTTGGATCCAGTAGCGCCGCCGACGTAAGGTGAAGTAGCGGAGTAAACATCGCACAACGGAACGTATTTTAACGGCGTCACTCTATCGTCTCTATCATCGTCTACGTCATCAACCTGCTGCTGATTTTGATTAGGTTTTGCGTCTCCGTCGATAGCAAACGCCATTGAATTACGGAATACAAGTTGAATTTATTCACTAGTTTTGTATGAATAGGGAAGATTTTGAGCTGAATTGGGATTTGGGATTGGAATTGGAATGTTTAGGGTTCGAGAGAATAGGGGATTGGAATTTGAGGGAAAGTGATTGGTGTTTTTGGAGGGAGGTTTTGGGGAAAAAGGTATGGTTTCCCGCCGTAGGGGCGATACACGGCTTATTTATATGGAGGTGGAAGGGGGAGGACTCTTTCTCTTTTACATGTTGTTACTATTTTTTAACAACAACAACAATTATGTAAAATCACACATAGTACATCTGTCTCGGGAGGTAATGTGTACACATATCTTACCCCTCCCTAATCAGGACAGAGAGTTTGTTTCCGATAGACCCTCGGACTTTACTCTTGCCCCGATCGGGACAGAAAATTTATTTCCGATAGACCCTCGGCTCGATAAGATTGTTACTAATGGCATTTGCATCAAATCGTTTTGGATATTTTGTTATTTATAGTAACTAATAATGATATCAAAAACCAACTAAGTTTGACATTGTTAAGGATGAAAAGTCTATAATGATTTGTTGAATATCATATTGTTTGGTATGAAAAAGTTTCTAAGAATTCTTCTTCCTCTTTTTTATTTGTTATTATTCAATTTAATTAGAATATTTTTTATTTGAGGTATGTATAAAAAGTTACAAATGTTTTTTTAAAGTAAATAAAGTATTGAAGACGGCTAAGTATAAAGAAATAAAATTAAGACGTGTTCATCGTTTAAAAAGATTTTGATTTTTTATCAATAATGTTACCGTTACTATTCTCTAGATTTAAAAGTTCGTTACGGCATTTAAAATTCCGTTATTTCGCTCTGGTGTGGAAAGATTTGAATTTCGCGCAAATAATGTGTCATTTCGTATGAGCTTTTCTTTATAAAGTTACTATATATTGTTTCCTTATCATTTTAAGCGTGTGTGTTTCAAGGATTATTAGTAGTACAATGTATGTGTAATGTATACATACACATACAGCGTAAGCACAACATATGCACGCCCACAAACCCCTATATAGAGTTCTTTTATTAATTTGTAATCTAACTATTGCTGCGTGCGAATGCTAAAATATATATATCTTTAAATCGTGTTTAGTGTGTTGAGATAAAAAAATTCCAAATAATAAGTAAATGTTATTTGTTACAAACGCGTAATATTATTCTACTTAAAGACGCCAAACATATAAAAATAAAATCAAGACTTACTTACCATCTAAAAAGTTTTTTTCTTTTTTTTAAAATAATGTTACTGTTACTATTCTCTTGATTTAAAAGTTAGTTATGAGGTATTTAAAAATTCGTTATTTCCCTATGTTGTCAAAAAAAAAACAAATTTCACGTAGATGACATGTCATTTTTGTTTGAGATTTTATTGTTAAATTTACCATGTATTGTTTTCTTATTGTTTTGAATGAGCATGTTTCCAAGGATTTCATTCATCCCCCGTATCCCTTAATATTATTTCAAGAGTTGGAATACAAGACTTTTGATTAATGATAGATGACCAATTAACCAACCAACAAAATTATTTGTTACAAATAAGATCTTGTTATTGTATCGAAAGAGATAAATGTTAGCTAATTTGACTAATATTTAAGGGTTCATCCCACCGTAACCTTTATGGTTGTTGCTTCTCTTTTCTCTCTTTTTTTTTCTTGTAATATCAAATTATTATTTTTATAAGAAGTTTGTATTTTCTGCCCTTTTATGATTTTCTTCATTTTGGCATATAGGTTTTTTTCTTCGCTTATTTCTTTTTCTTTTGGGCTGCCATTTGCATCAAATTGTTTTGGATATATATACGTATTATGTTGTTTATAGTAACTAATGATGACATCATAATTCATTTAAGTTTGACAATGTTAAGGACGAAAGGTCTTGATGATTTTTTTTTTACATCTAGTCTAGTGATTGAGATAAAAATTAAAGTTACCATGATATATGTTCTTGTTTCTTTTAAGGCTTGGTATTCAATTAAACTATAATATCTTGTATTAACCTTTATTCGACGTATGTACTAAAAGTTAAAAGGGATTTAGATTAAATAAAATATTTTATTGAAGAGTTCAAGTGTAAAAAAAATAAAATCAAGACCAACTTACTGTCTAAAAAGATTTTAAATATTTTCCTCAATTATATTATTGTTTATGTTTTCAGGATTTAAAAGTTCGTTACATGGCATTTAAAAAGTATGTTATTCTCTCGGTTGCAGAAAAATTAAAATTTCATGCAGATGACGTGTCATTTCATTTGAGCTTCTTTTTGTAAAGTTACCATATAGTGTTTTCTTATCGTTTTATATGCACACTAGTATTAGTACCCGCACAGATGCGCGGACACTAATCATGTCAAATATTTAAGTTATTTGGATTGTATGTAAATAATCTTAAAATTTATATTTTTTCAGTAAATATAAATAATCATTGGATATTAACTACCTGGAAAAAATTAACCATTTATTCTATTTTTCTTTCTTGATATTATTCTTCCCGGTGTCATTGGATCCTAAAAATAGTCCGGAAGCAAAATAATAACTCATATTTATGGCATAACAATCAAATGTTGAGACAATGAATGACTCTTTGGATAAGACTTAACTCTTTTACTACTACTTGAACTCTTATTTGGTGTGTTGATATCTCTTAAAAATATTTCTTTCTTAAAATTTCAGTTTCTAAAACATTATATTTCAATAATAATTATTTTTATAATAATATAAGTGAAAATATTATTCTTAATTCAAAACTCATTTTAGTTGGCTATCTAAAAATATAAAAAATTCTTTAGCTAATGAATTTTTTTACTCCATTTTGATATTTGACATTAACCATGTTAAATATTTGAGTTGTTTGAATTATATGTAAATAACCTTAATATTTAAACCCTCTAAATAATTATAGATAATCGTCAGATATTAATTAAGAAATACAACATGAAAAAAGACTAACATTTTCTTAATTCTCATAGTGATAATTTTATTTTTGCATCATTCTCATAGGTGTCATTGGACCTAAAAATAGCCACAAAGTGAAATAATAACTCATATTTATGGCAAAGCACAAAGGCCGATACGATATAAACGATTATTTGATTACGACGTGACTCTAATACTATGACTTGAACTCCTATTTGGTATGATTTATCTTTCGAAAAATATTTCTATTTGAAATTTTAATTTCTAAAACTTTATATATATATATATATATATATATATATATATATATATATATTATAGTAATGATTATATTTATAATGATGCAGGTGAAGATATTATCCTTAATTTAAAATCCACTTTAATCGGCTATCTAAAAATTTAAATAATTCTTTGGCCGGATTTATTTCAATATGACTCCATTTTAAGTTTATCGATATCTCTAGCCCCGGAATTTGAATTTTTAATATCCTATATGTACAAAAAATTTGCTTTTCGGACCATTAAATGTTAAATTAGTTGATTATTATTATAAAATATTGCATATAATGTCTTAAAATTGTCAAGTAGTTTATTTTTCGACATCATACTTGGCTCAACTTCACTGTAAACTACTCAAATTGCATTTCAATAGAAATTCGAATATCATATTATTTTGTTAGTAATAGTAATTTTTTAAAAACAACACATAATGTAAATTTAAAAACTATTCGAAGATATTCTTATCTTATAATCTATGTATTTGAGTTGAAAAAAAAAATATTTGAAATCGATGAGATTAACTTTCAAATTTTTTATACTCACCAAAGATGGAACATAACATCTTTTATTTCTCGTTTTTAGATCTTTCTAATATATTCTTCATTATTTATTTTCATTTATCTTATTTTTTATGTCATTATTTCTTTTATTACAAAAAATTAATTTATTTCACTATAAAAGGATGAGTTTTAATAAAAGTTGTCTACATATAAACATTAATTATATTTTTAGTCTTTGGTTGAAATTATTTCATATTTTTCTTTTGGTTTTATCTAATCAACCTAAATAGGTGGTCACCCAATGTCACGACCTGGATTTCCCAACCTCGGGGGTCGTGATGGCGCCTACTAATGGGAGCTAGACAAGTCAAACCTTAACTACTTGCTACGCTTCCATATTGCTTCATTTTAATAAACACAAGGCGATAACATAATAACAGCGGAACTTTAAATAATTAAGCGGAAGTCAACAATTAAATATCTTACGTCTACGTATATTACAACTTTTAAAACCTCAAATACCCAAAACCTTGTGTCACGGTATCACAAACTATCTAAGATTTCTACATACAAGGTCTGAAGAAATAACAGTATGCTATTTATGAATAAAAGAAAATGAAACAGGAAGTAGAGATAGAGGGAGACGCTAGGGCTTGCGGACGCCTGCAGTCTACCTTGGGTCTCTGGGTGGACTGAAGGAAGCACTCCAACTACTGTCTGAAAGTTGCTCCTGGATTTGCACACAGTGCAGAGTGTAGTATCAGCACAACCGACCCCATGTGTTGGTAAGTGTCTAGCCTAACCTCGACGAAGTAGTGGCGAGGCTCGGATCAGACTACCAAATACATCTGTGCAGTTCAAATGTATATAGAGCGGAAAAGAAATACAGAAAATAACCAGTCAATGTGGGAGGGGGAAACATGTTGTGGAGAGATAACAGTTCTGAATAGAAAACATCAAGCAAGGAAAGAAACAACATAACTCGAATATCAACAAAGAATGAGAAATCAACAATTTGCACGGCATCACCCTTCGTGCTTTTACTCTCGTCCTTTTTAAAGCAATTTTATAATAAAAGTGTGCACGACATCACCCTTCATGTTTTTACTTTCATCCTCACCAAATTAATCATATAATAAAGATGTGCACGGCACCACCCTTCGTGTTTTTACTCTTTTTCCTCACCATATAATCAATGAAAATCGGTACGGAATGGTACATCGTACGGCACGACATCACCCTTCGTGCTTTACACTCTTTCCTCACAATAGCAAATAATGCACGGCATCCCCCTTCGTGCTTTAACACTCTTCCTCACCCAAACAACAATCATAAGCAAAGGGGCAAGGGAATAAACAAAATAGTAATAGAGATCCCGGCAAGGGAACAACAATTAAATAATTAAATTCCGGCAAGAGAACAACATCAATAATCTCAACAATCCGGCAAGGGAGATAATCAATAAA